CCCCCCCCCCTCAAGCCCTCCTTATGTCTGCTACATCCACTTTCCCAATACTGGAGAGGGAGCCATGGGAAAAAGCAACAATTTCTTTTTTAAAAATAAATCAATTCTAAAGTATTATATCAAGAAGAAGTAGTGCTCCTATAACATGCTGAAGAATGTAGATTTGAGATAACATAATATAATATGCACAAATAATACGTGACACGTGCATTACGCTCAAAGGTCATTAATGTGATTTTTTTAGAAAAAGAAGAAAAACACTGACGGGACAAGAACGCTGACATAAGCAAAGGAAGGAAGAAAGAAAAACAAAAAGCCCCATTAGCGCTCGGTTTTCCGAAGGAAAAAAAAAACGCTGAATGCCCATTCAGATGACAGAGGTATGACAGTTTTGAGATGACAAGCATGCAGTGCTGTGTTAACAAATCGCAACCACAGAATTAGAAAGTTGTATCTACTCAGTATCTAGATCTAGTTTTGGGGAAATTAGACGTCAAAGATTTTGGGCTTCACATCATGTCAAGCTTTTTCGAGTGCTGTTCTTTGAATATCTTGATAACGACTCCAAATAATATATATTACCTTTTTGATAGAGCAGATAGAACATTTGGTTTCTGACCTCATGGTCTTAGGAACTTAAAACGGCAAAACATGTCAGATAGAACTTTGTAATTCTGATGTAGCGAAATGACGAAGGAATGTTTTCCAAAAGCAGGGCCTCTTTTCCTATGAACTTGTGGAACTGTCTCACTTAAAACCGAACTTATTAGATCTTTATTTTTTTCTGAGAGCCATGATTCATAAAATACCTATTATATCTTCCTTTGACGATCTGTGTACGAGATAATATTCAATGTTTTGATAGTTTACATATTTACACATTTGTGAAAAAAACCCAGTAATATATATTATGTATATATTTTTATGTACATGTATAAAAGCATACAGATACTTTTTTGTTAAGTACTCTTATTTTTTCTAAGATCTGCATTACGAGATATTCACAATTTTGATAGAGTGTGTTTATACTGTTTCGACCCCCGCCCCCTAAAAAAAAAATAAAAAAAAAATACAAACGTATTTCCTTCCTCTAAAAAAAGATAATTTATGAGTTATATTAGAGCCAAAAATATTCTGTGGTGATGTACACAGACTCTTATTTTCGTTTTAGTAGAGGTTTTACTTCGCTCGCAACTGCATAAAGTCATGTGAGCGCCAGAAGATTAGTGGTGTTACAAGAGAGTAACAAACATACAATGTAAAAAAAGAACAAGGGGAGATAAGGACGATAGATGTTTGATAGGAAAGAAGGAGCAAACCACACCAGAGTACTCGCCAACCACAAACTCACACACAGACTCTGTTGAGGGCATATTTCTCTGTTTGTTCTTACACCCCTTCTCTCTCTCTCTCTCTCTCTCTCTCTCTCTATCTTTCACTCTCTCTCTCTCTCTCTGTCTGTCTCTCTCTCTCTCTCTCACTCTCTCTCTCTCTCTCTCTCTCTCTCTCTCTCTCTCTCTTTCTCTGTCTTTCACACAGACACACATACACACACACAATCATCTCCCCTTCTTCTCTTTTCCCTTCTTCCTTTCCTAGAACGAGTAACTACAAAATGCTCCCTCACCACCATCCCCCTTTCCCCATCCTACGATACCTAAAACAACGTACTAAAATATTAAGTAGAGCGCGCGGTCCTCACAACCGCGAGGTCAGCCCAAATGTGGCAAGGCCACCCGGCTCCTCACTATCAGCCCTCCCCCACCCCCGGGACCTCTTCACACGCTCACCACAACAGACCCAATCTTTTTTCCCGGGCTACTATCGTGCTCTGCCTCCTCGTTTTCTTTTACCCCCAAGGGGAAGCGCGAGCCTTTGGATCCCTAGTGCTCGGGAGAATATAATAATAGTTTCAATTCAATATTTAGAGGCACGGCTCGTTTGACGGAGAGGGTTTTGGGCAACGTGGTCTGTGTATGACACCTCCCCTCCGAGCGCTTGAGAAGGACTTAATCTTCGTTCACCCTAAAACAGATGTACGATGGTCAACATCAAAATATGTACACATGATATTCATTTCAGCCTTTTTTGGGGGAAGCTCATGGTGTCCTAATTAGAGCCAGGGGAATCTGTATTGCTTCAGGCACGAAGCTGTAAAACTAGGTCATTCCAATGAGAGATATGCTGCTGATGGTTCGATATGAAAAGGGTTAATCAAGGTAAGGTGAACCAAAGAGGGACCAGGCAGACACACACGCTATGAGCACTTTGCAAACAGAAGAGTGGACCTTCAGAAGTGGTTAGCTCTTTCCGCGCACACTCCGGGCGTTTGCATAGTTCTCCTTTATGGAAATGGCAATTTCAATAAAAGCGAGAACCAATTCTGGTCTCTTACTGCCTTGTCATTTAGGTACGGTACGACAGCGGTCTCGGGCTTCCTCGTCATAATAATATTTATATCAAGCGACATACGAGGGCACTTATTGCATTAGATTGGCTGTACTCAGCGTATTGGCTGGGAAGATGGCGTGACGGCTTTGGCCGATATAAGTGGCTGGACGGGTTTGGGCGTTGGACCGAGACACAACGCCTGGTAGAGGATTTCAGAAGGATTATTACATAATGAACATTATCTCAAATACTTACGATATCAATAATGTACAGAATTCCGGGGAAACGTACCTTATTACTTGTAGTAGGTCTGCGACAAACCAATATATGGTAATATTCCCTATACCAACTATAGGTTAGCATGAGGATGTTCTTCTCTCACGATGCATTCTGAATTCTAAGTTTAGGTGAGATAAGTAGTAACGTCAATTGTTCTTTACCCCCTCCTTCAACCTACCCTTTCTTTCTTTCTTTCTTTTTCTTGTTTTTTTCTGTCTTTGTTTATTTGTTTGTTTGTTTGTTTCTCTCTCTCTCCCTCTCTCTCTCTCTCTCTCTCGCTCTCTCTCTCTCT